GAAATCAAAGTAAAAGGTGAAATTAAACAAGTGATCATTGAAATCTACTCCTAATCCTGTGGCATAAGTTTATATTGGAGGATGTCTGCTTCTTTTTAGGAAGTCATTGAACTACAACTTTGTTTGTAAAACTGCAGTTATAATCCAGACGGTGATAAAACGTAAACGTGATACACATAGTAAGATAACCTCAAAACTAATGGTTCAACTTACTTTTTCACATCTTCATTCATATTAATGTCGAATTTGACTGCTTGATCTTTGATTTCCACATTCCTGTTTTGAACCTGAGACAGCATGCGTAGTGTTGAACAGTCCACTAACACAATTTTACGTCACTTATTACGTTATTTCGTAGCAAGTCACTAACTTAAAGTACTTATTTTAGTTAGTTTATAGAACAGCTACGCATAAATTTGGAGAAGTTTATCAGTGAACTGATATTGAACAATTCGTACCTTCTAAATGTTTTGTTTAAATAGGTATGTTTTAAATGCTTTGCTAACAGATATATGAACATTTATATGCCATCTCATTTTATGCAAGGCTTGGATGACACCCACCCACATATTTCATTTTATGCCAAAATGATTAGAGTTGTATGATAATCTGATAGCAGGCTACTTCTGAAATATTTCAGTTTACATAAACAGTAAGATTTATCTTTATATATATATATATATATATATATATATATATATATATATATATAAAGAGAAAAGTATCAAGTGCGACAAATCAAAATTTTAGTTTTCTCCAAGAGGAATAACTCTTGGAAATGTTTACGTAATTTGTATGATATGAACAATAGGCGTTATAGAAATAGGATGTAACTGACTGTTCTGTTGGTCAATCATGACTTAGGAGTACAGGTCAACTGGTTAGCGCTCACTAAGAAGAAATGCTGTAGTTCAATTTTTAAGGTCTAACCGCATAAACATACAGTTAATATTTTGACATTAGTACTTTATCGGTAGTACCAAAGTAAGTTTATCATATATGGCTTCTATAAAATAACTCATTTTATACCACAGCTGCAAACATTCAATTCTACATGACTTGTTCAGAATGTTATGTAAGCTTTAAATGAGTTTGGCGTAGATTTCACTATGATATTGGATGACATCGCTGTTAAAGATTCTCAAATAAGTGAAATATTTTGATATATCTTGGGTGCTTATGTCTAGAGAATCACTTAGGCCTAGTTAAATTAGTTAGTCCATGTATACACATAAGTTGAATTTAATAAGTTGATTGATAGCAGTTTCCAGCATAAGTAGTAGCACTTAGCAATCGGTAATCCAGTTCAGATGACAACGCATTTTATAGATCAGGATCTTGAGATAAAAGCACTTAAAATCGTTTATGTAACTTTCTTTTAATTAGTTGAAGTTTGGAGCATATCCTGATAGCCTTATATGTCATATTACTTTCCGAGCTTCTTGAGCATATTTATTCATATAACTCAAAGGCGTTTTGCAGTAGGAAATTGATTTTCTTTAGAATGAGCAAACTCATCACATATTGGATGGTTTCTTCATGAATTTACTCCGTATAGATTATATTTGTGGATAGAGAGCATGCCTTTTATCAAAGGATTATAGTCTAAAGTTTTTCACTTCGTGTTGCAGATATACTATTTGATGGGACAAAATGAAAGCTTTTCTCTAATTTAAAGATAGTGTTCTACTTTTACTTTGTTTATTACAATACCAGTAGAGTCCTTTTACTATGCACATCATATTACAGAGTACACCATCATGTAAAAATAAGTTCTTACCATATCTTGTTACTACACTTGTTACTTTTTTTGACTGATGAATGACAAGATGCTGCAAAAGATGGAAACTATGATTTCGCTTGTGGCATTTGACCAAAAACATCACACATCACAAGTGTCTTAAGATAAGTTTCGGCTTCTTTTGATGATGGTTTCCTTCCCCAGTTTTTTTTTGTGAGCAAATGTTTTTGCTTTTCATAATACCGCCCTTAAGAATCACTGATTAGAAGTATTAGATGAATATTCGTGGTAAGTGGGGCTATTAAAGATATCACTCTCGATGTTGGATCAACCAGATGAAGTCAGTATGTAGATTCATACCTACCAAAACGACGTTTAAGCAGCTGTCTGAGGCACTACATACAAAAATTTATTCTTGAACGTAGTACAAAAATATTCAGAAAATGAACTGTAAATGTGTACTACCATATAGGCCTTAACAATCCTTTCTCCAATAATGCTTGGTGAATAAGCAGACCTGAATTAGTTTTCCTCTGTTGATAAAGTATGTAGAGGTTCAAGATATGTGATGACTTCCTGAAAATAGATGAAAGCTTAAAAGCTACTTACATCACTCAGTAAAAGCAATCAGCCAAAATTCTCGAGAACAATCAGTTTCAAAATTGAAGACATTATTGATGAATATAGTAAGTGCTAACATTTACTAAGAATTATTTCAATTTCAAACATCCTCATACTATATCGCTCAAATGATAAAATCAGGAGTACTTTATATAGAATCTACCAGTAGAATCAACCATTGGCTTCGGCTAAATGAATTTGTAGTTGGATATATATATATATATATATATGCACGAACCTCTTTAGCAATAATTAACATTCTAACTGACATTATAATTTAAAAGCTTTGCTTCATTTGTACTTTTCAAGAAGCATAGAACTTAGTTCCTTAACTCGTTCTATGTAGCACTTTCACATAACGATACAGATTATACACTGTGCAGATGATGAAACACTTTCTAAGTGAATTCCTAGTTATATGTGTCAGTCTTATGACTGAATAAATGTTCACAGGAAATTTATGGGTAAATGATCTAACAGTAAAAGTATTCAGAGATTATAGTGCAGTTTCTCCATGTGAATTTCATACTTTTCAGCCAGACATTTTACTTTGATTAACTTTGATAAAGTCAGCTAGAATATCTGCTTAAAGTTCATGTAATTTGCTTAACCTGCCTCTCTAAGTTGTATCGACCTAGGTAAGAAAATGAAAAACATGGTTGCATAGCATGAAAAGATTCTCATTTGATGTTCATTTCTCTTGTCCAATGATACTTGTTAGTAGGCATCAGTGCTCTAAAATGATTCATGCTGAGGAATAACGTAAATGTCGTATTTCATTTCACATTTAATTTTGATCAATTTATTTTATATTTTATTTTTCATTGATACTTGTAATTCCCCGTTGTTATACCGAATAGAATTGACTGACGTTTGTTGGCATATGGTCCCTTATGCGGATATCTCCATATTATATAAATATTCAGTTGGAAATGATTTGGTGATGGCTGTCAGCGGAATTCAGTGGGCACGTTTGGTTCTGTTTGAATCTTGTCGGCAAACATTTGAAGCTATGGGTAACAGGTCTGATTCTCAGTAAGAAGGCTACTACTCACTGGGATGCAAGTAGAATAAAACATGCATCCTGAATTTGTTACCAGCAACCACCAAGTCAATTATTTTTCCCCTGCGTTCCTAATGGAACATACGGCTTCAGTATCACGTCTCCAGTGACCTCTGTTCTCTTCAATCTTTTCAACCTGGCTCCACGACAGCCCACAAGCTCTCATTTCCTCCTCACACGATCTCCTCCATGTCACCCTCAGACAACCAACTCGTCGCTTCCCATCTGGATTCCACTCGAGTACCTGGCCTGACGCGTTATGTCCCCAGTCGACCTTCTCAGTGTATGCCCAATCCATCTCAACTTCCTTCTGCATATTTATTGCGTGATAGGTCCTTCGTTGGTTGGTTGCCAGAGCTCCTTGTTGCTTATTCTTCTTATTCTGGCCATCTGATCTTCAGTAGCGAGCGTAGGCAGTTGTCGATGAATGCTTGTAGTTTGTCGGAAATACCTTTCGTAACGCGCCAACCCCCTGAACCATACAGAAGCACTGACTTGACATTGGTGTTGAAAATCCTGATCTTGATCTTTATGCTGAGTGCAGAAGATCTCCACACTGGTTTCAGGCTAATGAACGCCTGTCCTGCTTTTCCGATTCTGACTTTGACATCCTCGTCTGTGCTGCCTGTATTTGAAACAGTGCCCCCTAGATAGGTGAAGGAGGCTACTTCCTTTAAGTTCCTCCCGTTACTGGTGACTGGGGCTTGTTATTGGTTGTGGTGGCGTTGGTTGGGTATCATCATCACTTCCGTCTTCTCTGCACTTAGTTGAAGTCCCGTCTTCGCTGCCCTGCCTCTTCTGTTAACTTTTTAGTTTTCGCCTGTAGATCTTCGAGTTTGTGCGGTATTAGACACAAGTCATCAGCGAAATCCAAATCTTCTAGGTTCATTGCGGTGGTCCAGTGTATCCCCCTCTTCTGACAAGTCAATTATTACTTTATATTTATCTATCTTTTGCAAATAACACGTCTACAGAAAGTCAATCAAAGCTGCACTATATTTCATGACTTGTTACTTTACATAAGATTAAATTTTGTGTAATTTGAGTATTTCTTCGAGCTTGAGTTCATTAATTTGATGCTTAAAATTGGACAATATTTATGACAGTTTAGAAATATGCAATAAAAATAAAACAATATGAAAGAATAAATGCCTCAGGGACATTATAGTTATACTCAATAAAGTTGGCTGCCATAATCCCTGTAGTGTTCTCACTACCCTTCACTAGGTTTTTAATGATTGCCTAGTGATTACAGACACGTTCAATGGATCTGGGAACTAGTATAATAAAAAATTTAACAGTTTCTAGCATTAAACCAAGAATTCTTTACATCAGTTAGTTGATTTTTAAAAAATCAGCAACCATGAAATGTATCCAGCCAATAAAAGCATAAAAGCGGGAATATTTGTGTCATTCAACTTTTTGTTTATATGACTCTTGTCAGTATGAATTTTAAGGTAATCAATCAAGGCAATTTAGTTAGAATGGTGTAAATAAGTGCATAGCTATTCATTTCCCCCTACACTCAATGTTCTACACCAAAGTATCATTCGTTTCAGATATGTGACAAACTATCTATTTCCTTTGAACAAATTAGAAATTATTAAACTATACATCACACTTACATTATATTGCCATCTAAACTATTTAAATTGAGTAAATCGGATATGAATGAATACTGTGTTAAATTTTCATTATATATGGATGTCTTTTGATTAGTCCATAACGAAGGACTAAAGTTATGTTGATTAATTCCATTAAATGGATAGAATCTTCTGCTTAGATCAATATTACTATTAATTTCCAAATTTTCTGAGCAGTTTACATTCAAATATGGTGGATGTATACTGAACTTTTGCAAACATCTATACGATGCAGGAGATGAAAATGATGGAGAAGTAGAAAATCGTATATGTTTTGAACTCTTGAGTTTTTTGTCATTTACTGATTGATTATGTAAATGTTCCATTAAAAATATATTATATTACATTATTTAGAAACGTTGTTTTGCGGAAAACTGTGATACAGATTAGAAGATATACTCAATGTTTCAGTGCATTACATTAAATATGTTCAATATTTGCAATAAATCCTCAATGTACTTAGTGTCATGCACGCACATGATGGATGATTTCTTAGAATAGAAAAGTTATAAACGTTTTGTGAAGAAAACTCGTTTTTAAATGAAAGTTATCTCCTGCAAATATGATTGGATAATGATCATAAAATAGTTTATATAAAGCTAAGTGAATTGTTTACTTAAAGATAAAAGTAAGTGAGGAAAAAATGTAGGCTATTTAAAAAAGAATAAATAACTATAGATTACATTAAACGTTGTGGAAAAAAGTTGAAAACTCTGGATGAAAAGTAATGTGAACCGATACAAGAATAAGTTTATTTTTTACAAACGACATATTTCATTTTTTTCTTATGATATCTAGTTTTTCTGTCTTCTTCTAGTATACATTCCGTCTATCCAACCATCGCTCCATAAGTGTGATTCCAAAACCGTTTTTCAAATTCAGTCACTGATGTCAAATGACAGAGTCATAAAATGTGCGTACACCTTCATGAAAATTTATGTTTTCGCATAAATCTGAGTGTAATAACCTTCGAGCAAAGCTTTTTTGTGTCACCATACTTATTGATAATACTAATATAATCATTTCCTACTTGTACTGACAAGTTCCAGGTTCTATTTTCCTTCGCCTCTTCTATGCAATTGTATTAATCAACCATCACATTCACCATATATTGCTCATATGCTAAACCATGAAACTGGTGAAATTGGTGCATATGCTGTATAACATAGTGCTCTTAGAAACTTGATTTGTTATGGAAATCAGAAATGATTGAAGTTCGACAGGTGTTAATCATATTCGTCTTTGCGTATTTCGCTAGTTGTTAATTTGCTTTAATCAGCGTCCCAAAGTGAACAAGTTAATTCATCACGGCTGTCACTGTAATTTCACCAATCATTTCATTATCATCACGTTTAATAAAGAGGAACTTTGAAAATTAAATTTTTGGTCATTTTTAGCCTATGACATTTAAATACTACCTGATAATAGTTCAACTGGTAAAGTAACTTCAGTTTCAAATTTGTCAAGAATTTTATTATGGTACTTGAACAATAACTTTTTTGAATGTGCTAAAAAAACTATTGAATACAGAATATTGATACAGGAAATATCTTCACCAAGTACATCAAACATCTTGGTCAAGTGTTTCTGAATGACCAGAAATGAATCAGAAATTTAGTTGAAATGAAGTGAATGTATTGTCATGTACAGTATTAAGCGTATTGAATAACTGTGCCAATTTTCAAGAATACTTTTGAAAATGAATGCTCAGACCAAATAAACTTCTTCGGTCTCATCTCCTCTGAACTTTCCGTATTAGATTAACTATTTGAAATTCGATAGTGTGAAACAGTATTATTTACTAGATGATGTTTTGATCGGAATTTACCGTTCATATTTGCCTTTATATATTGTCTTTCGAGTTCATGAAGTTTTGGAACTTAGGGAGAACTGCCAACCAGATACATCAATATCAAATTTAGCTGCATATTTGGTATGAAAGTGATTAACAGATGTGATGGTAAATTCATTACCACCATATAATACTTTTTTAGTGTCCCTGACATGTGCTAGATGTATGAATTGAAATGTTTCAGAAACTTTAAGGGTGATATGACGTTTTTTAAGGATTTAGACACATCATATTTGGCATTGAATTACCATTAATAACTTAGAATTTCAAAGAAAAGAGTTGCAGTATATCTAGGTCAATATAGTTGACTAGACAGTTAGTAAAATCATTTGAAAAAGGTAAACTTTCCTGACTGAATGAAGATACGAAGTAGTGGACAACACCTAAATTCCTATTGAACCTATTCCATCCCTTGTTAATTGTGAAAAACCCAGTCAACAGAAACATCTACCAAATCAAATGAAGTAATATGGGCGCACGACGTTGAGGAGTTACATACTGGGATGCATCAGCTGTCTGATACTCTCAGATTTTCAGTGGTTCTTTAAATGTTTTTCATTCCGTGATGAATACCATCTAGAAAGCAATAAATCCTCACAAACTTCCATAAAAATAAGTTCTTCTCTAGCAACATATCAATATTTACATATGGAGTGTTCCTGAAAAAATAGCTAGTGAAGAAGTGAAGCTGGGGCTGGAAGTATTTTGAAATCGTAGAAGTATTATCATATTTTATTTTATCAAAGCATAAGTGTCTGTTCATCTTTAAATGTTCGTGACTAGCAGAAATAGTAGAGATGGATAGTGGCTAGCAGTGAGATCTAGGATGCATACTTCTTCCTATTTGGGATTCGTCAGCTGGATGTACCTGCTTCCGGGGAGTGATGTTGTTCGCACCGGAACTCGGGAGCAACCGCTTAAAATGCCAGAGCGTTATCCACTACACACTGAGCCATGATACCCACTTTTTGCGTGACGGGTTTAGTTTTGGTATAATTGTTTTCAAATTATACCGTCGTTGATTAGACCGAATTGATCGGTCTCTATAGGCACATGGGCTCCTGTGCGGATGCCTCGATATTACCTGTGTTCCAATGATAGTAAAGATGGAAAATAGCTATCAATAGAATCCAGGATGCGCATTTTCTCTAATTTGGAACTCGTCAGCTATATGTACCTGCCTCCCAGTGAGTGACGTTATTTCCACCGGGATTCAGAAATTGTCAAGGAAATACCATAATTTACGAGGTGTACACTGACGGTAGAATTAAGAAACAAATAAATCTCCACAGAATAACTTTTGTCTTTGGTATGGGTTTTGATACAATTCTGTAGGCCTGATACATAACATTTTTTAAACAGTATTTGAGTATTTTTCGCACCACATGTTTAAATTTATAAATTTTGCCATAAAACTTTCCATTACTGCTTCATGAATCTGAAGGATAACCAACAAAATAACTTTACTGGTTCCTACCGTGATGCCAAATAGTTTTCCCTTATCCCTAATGTAATGGCTAAGAGAAAAAACTCTCTGCTAGCCAATAAGTACATTAACTTAGACATTCACATCTAATGTTTGGCGCTTACCTCTAAAATGTAAAGAAGCGAAAACCATAATCTAACGAACCAAGTGGTCAACAGTACTGTTTCAAAATGTTCCAGAAATCTTCATCTAGAGAACAATTAAGCATTTTTAAAGATAGTAAAAAAATTCGTATGACTTAGAATTTGTAGTCTGATTAACTAATAAATGAATGCACTGATAAAAACACCATAGAACTTTAGGCATACTTGCTAAAGTTTTAATGGGTGCTGATGGAAATAACACATCAGTAATTTTTATAACTTTCAATTGAACAGAAATTAGCTGTCATCACGATTCCAAGTAGTCTGACAAACAAGCCTGAAGAAAAAGGTGACAGAAATATACTCAAAAAATTAACTTCAAGTTTAATAATACATTCTGTTATGATTAACATCCTTTCTGTAAAAATTATCAAAGCTTTAGACACACATTAACAAGGAGCATATAGTTAGAGTAGCGGACAAGGAAAAGTGCAGTAATTCAGAAAAAACAGCTGAAAGCATACTTAGATTCCGGCTATTTCCCTGCCACCTGTTTGGATACATAAATCAGTCACGCATACAACAATTTGAAAATTTCTTCTTATTTCTTAGAATCATTACTTGTCTCATGAGTTCCTAGTGGAACATAGGAATTCAGTAGCACGTCACCATTCCACTCTCTTCTCTCCAGTCTTTCCAACCTAGCTCCAACACAGCCCACAAACTTTCATTTCTTCCTCACACGATCCCTCCTTACCAACCTCGGCTCAAACACCCAACTCGTCGTTTCCCATTTGACTTCCACTCGACACCCTGGCCTGGAGTCTGATGTCCTCAAATGGTCTTACCAGTGTGTGTCCAATCCAATCCAATCCAATTCATACACACTTTCTTCTGCATATTTGTTGAGCGATTGATTCTTTTCCCCCATCCCCTGTCTTCACTTCACTTCACTTCACTTCAAAGGCGTCACCGAGCACTCCATTGTTGGTGTGGATCACTTGGCATGTGGCCTTTTCATATAGGTGTTGAATCAGGTTGACAAAGATTTGATGCACTGAATTCGTAGTGTTGAAGCAGCTGCCTACCAAATTACTTCTTAGTCGACGCTGTCGAATGCATATTCAAAGTGGATGAAGTGGAGGTAGAGTTGAGTTGACAGGCATTCTGTGCTGTGTTCTCTGATGATGTGTAGCATAGCGTTGCAATTTGATTCGCACGTGCTTCGATCTCCTTGAAGCCAGCCAGCCAGCCAGGCAATTCCGGTCGTATTTTCGAGTCCAGAGCACTTTTAATCTCTCCAGTATGATGAGGCATAATAGTTTGTTTGTGGTGGTTCTTTCCTGTATTTCAGAAGTTTTATAGTACATCAGCTAATTGGCCTTCCGAAGTCTTTCATTATATGGTGACATTTCGTGTCTCCGATACCAGTGAGGAATAAATTTATTTTTATTTTCTATATTTCCTTTGTCCTTTGAAGTTTGTTTAGTGACTTGGTTAGTTTCCCGGTGTACAGTTGGTAGCCGTATGCCTAACCTTCCTTTTTTATGTGGTCCTACGACTGGCTAGTAACTATTGAACTTGTTCACTGAGCGAAGTTAAGTTGTTCGTTAAGAGTCTTAAAAATAATAGGAGAATGGGAAAACTTGCGATGGTTTATTATTTGCCAAACTTTGGTTCATTCTACGTGTTGTTTATTGTGTTCCACAAAAATTAATAGACAAAATTTGAATATTTAATTTTAGCAATCTACGTGGAATTGAAGCTTGATTAACAATTGCTTGATATCATGTGATTTGAATATCTTCTATGCTTAACCGTTTGCATACCAGTCAAAGCTAATTGGTAATATAGTTAAAGACTTGATTCACTGAAACAGTTTCAGAGAAAGAGACTGAAAATGAATTTAGAATTCAAAGTTTGTGTCTAGCTGTTTTATATCAATAAACATTCGTTTACTGACTGTTGTTTGCCCGAAACGCCACTCATCATGTATAACAGTCGAGTTTGCATTTTAGTTTTCTTGTAATATCCATCATGATGGGATGAGATTTGCAGCACAA